TTTACCTCGATTTCGATATGATAAGTTAATATATTTATCTTGAAAGTGTTATTTACCTTATTCATTAAATTTTTTATTATTTATAGTTGGATTAAAAATATATTTATTTATATGAATTATTTTTAGTAAAGTTAATAGAAAATTTTAATTCTATCTTATATTTTCAAAATATATGCTTATTTCAAGCTCATTAACTTATATTTAATTTAGTAAGTTATCTCATCATTTATTAATTAAAGGGTTAATTAAAAAGTATAAGAAATAAATAATTGTTAAAATTTGTCCAATTATAACATAAGGTTCTTCAACTGGTCGAGCTCCAATTCAAGTTAATAAAATTACAGTGGATAATATGATTCAAAATAAAAATTGGTTAATTGGGTAAAATTGTAATCCTTGAAATTTGCTTATGTTATAGAAAGGTATAATTATTAAAATGGCAATAGATGCAACTAATGCAATTACTCCTCCTAATTTGTTAGGAATTGAACGTAAAATTGCGTAAGCAAATAAAAAATATCATTCTGGTTGAATGTGAATAGGGGTTACTAAAGGGTTAGCTGGAATAAAATTGTCTGGATCTCCTAATAAATAGGGATTTATTAAAGTTAATATAATAAGTCCTATAATTAAAATAATAAATCCGGTGATATCTTTAAAAGTGAAATAGGGATGAAATGGAATTTTATCAATATTTGAATTTAGTCATATTGGGTTATTTGATCCTGTTTGATGAAGAAATAGAAGATGAATTATAGTTATTGCTAAAACAATAAAAGGTAAAATAAAGTAAAAGGTAAAAAATCGTGTTAACGTTGAGTTATCAACTGCAAATTCTCCTCAAACTCATTGTACTAAGTCAATACCTAAATAAGGAATAGCAGTTAATAAATTAGTACAGTAGCTCCTCAAAAAGATATTTGTCCTCATGATAATACATAACCTATAAAAGCTGTTGCTATTACTAAAAATAAAATAATTACTCCAACTAGTCAAGTTTGTGTATATTTGTAGGAATTATAATAAATTCCTCGTCCAATATGAAGATAAATACAAATAAAAAAAAATGAAGCCCCATTAGCATGAAGAGTTCGTAATAGTCATCCATAATTTACATCTCGACAGATATGTCTAATTCTGTTAAAAGCTATATTAATATCTGCTGTGTAATGTATAGCTAAAAATAATCCAGTTAAAATTTGAATGATTAAACATAATCCTAAAAGAGATCCAAAATTTCATCAAGAAGAGATATTAATTGGAGTTGGTAAATCAACTAGGGAATTATTTATAATTTTGAAAAGTGGATGTTTAATTCGTATTGGTTTATTCATTTATTTTATAAATCGAATTGGTCCAAAAAATATATTAGTAATTTTTACAATTGCAATTAAAGTAATTAAAAGATAATTTATTAAAAAAATTGTTATAAAATTGGTAGGATAATTATAAAGTTTAGTTAAAATATATGAATTTTCTTTAATTAAAATTTTTAAATTAATTAATAATATTGATTCATTATTTGTAAATATATCTATATTAATATAATTGTAAAAAATAATCCATAAAAATAAAATTCTTGTAATTAGTGAAATTGTTCATATTAATATTTTAATTGAAAATGAAAATATTTCATTTGAAGCAATTGCTGTTACATAAATAAATAAAACTAATATTCCTCCTAAAAAAATTAAAAATAAAATATAGGCAAATCAGAATGTTTTTGAAATTATTGATACTGAGATTATTGAAACTAAAATAGTCTGAATTAATAATATTAATCCAATAGATAATGGGTGATTTAAAAATAAAAATGTAATACTTGAAATTAGTATTATAGATAAAATTAATATATGTAAGATTTCAAGAAATAGTTTAATTAAAATATAAATTTTGGGAATTTATGATAAAGAATTATTTCTTTTTTCTTGAGAGTTTTAAAAGATTATTCTTATTTTTGATTTACAAGACCAATGTTTTTATTAAACTATTAAAACTAAAAAATGATAATTTATTTTTGATTATTTTGTTGTATGATAGTATTAATAGGGATTTTTTCTTTTATTTTCAATCGAAAGCATTTATTATCTATATTATTAAGTTTAGAATTTATTGTTTTAATAATTTATTTTTTATTATATAGTTATATAAATATAATAGATTATAGAAATTATTTTATAATAATATATTTAACATTTAGAGTTTGTGAAGGAGCTTTAGGAATTTCTATTTTAGTTTCTATAATTCGTACTCATGGAAATGATTATTTTCAATCATTTAGAATTTTATAATGTTAAAATTTATTTTTTTTATTTTATTTTTGGTTCCTATTTGTTTTTTAAATAGTATATTTTGAATGGTTCAAAATATATTATTTTTTATTAGTTTTATTTTTATTTTATTTAATATTTATATAAATTATTTTATAAGTATTTCTTATTTTTTAGGATGTGATATAATTTCTTATGGATTAATTTTATTAAGATTTTGAATTTGTGCATTAATATTAATAGCAAGTGAAAAAATTCAAAAATTTAAAAATTATATTAATTTATTTTTAGTGAATGTAATTTTTATGTTATTTTTTTTATTTTTAACTTTTTCTAGAATAAATATTTTTGCTTTTTACTTATTTTTTGAAGGGAGTTTAATTCCAACTTTATTATTAATTTTAGGGTGAGGGTATCAACCTGAGCGTTTACAAGCTGGAATTTATTTATTGTTTTATACTTTATTTGTATCTTTGCCTATATTAATTGGAATTTTTTATTTATATGAAAAATTAGGAAATTTAAATTTTTATTTTTTAAGTAATTATATGTTTAATTATGAATTATTATATTTTTCGATAATTTTAGCTTTTTTGGTTAAAATGCCTATATTTTTGGTTCATTTATGGTTACCTAAAGCTCATGTTGAAGCTCCAATTTCTGGTTCAATGATTTTAGCTGGAATTATATTGAAATTAGGGGGGTATGGACTTTTACGGGTATTTTCATTTATTTCATTTGTTTGTTTAAAATTTAATTATTTTTTTATTAGAATTTCTTTAATTGGAGGAATTTTAATTAGATTAAATTGTTTACGTCAAGTTGATATAAAGTCATTAATTGCTTATTCTTCTGTTGCTCATATAGGGATTGTTTTAGCAGGAATTATGAATTTAAGAAATTGAGGAATTTGTGGAGGGTATAGATTAATAATTGGTCATGGATTATGTTCTTCAGGTTTATTTTGTTTAGCTAATATTAGATATGAGCGGTTAGGTAGACGAAGATTATTAATTAATAAAGGGTTATTAAATTTTATACCTTCTTTAACTTTATGATGATTTTTATTAAGATCTGGAAATATAGCTGCTCCTCCTACATTAAATTTATTAGGAGAAATTTCTTTAATAAATAGAATTGTAAGTTGATCTTGATATTCAATGATTGCTTTATCATTTTTATCTTTTTTAGAGCAGCTTATACTTTATATTTGTATTCTTATAGACAACATGGAAAAATTTATTCAGGGGTTTATTCTTTTAGAATAAATAATATACGAGAATTTTTATTACTATTATTACACTGGGTTCCTTTAAATTTATTGATTATAAAAAGTGAAATAATTTTTTTTTGATTATATTTAAATAGTTTAATTAAAACATTGATTTGTGGTGTCAAAAATATAAAATTTTATTTTAAATTGTGAAAAATTTATCTTTATGTAGAATAAGATTTTGATTATTAATTAATTTAAGAATTATTTCTTTTATTTTTGGTTTAATATTTATTAATCATGATTATTCAATTTTTTTAGAATGAGAATTAATTTCTTTAAATAGAATTAGAATTGTAATAACTTTTTTATTTGATTGAATAAGATTAATTTTTATATGTTTTGTATTATTAATTTCGTCTTTAGTAATTTATTATAGAAAAGAATATATAGCAGGAGATATAAATATTAATCGATTTATTTTATTAGTTTTGTTATTTGTTATATCAATGATATTTTTAATTATTTCTCCAAATTTAATTAGAATTTTATTAGGATGAGATGGTTTAGGGTTAGTTTCTTATTTATTAGTGATTTATTTTCAAAATGTAAAATCTTATAATGCAGGTATATTAACTGTTTTATCAAATCGTATTGGAGATGTTGCTTTATTATTAGCGATTGCTTGAATATTAAATTATGGATCTTGAAATTATATTTTTTTATTAAAATTTAATATTTTAGATATAAATATATTGATTATTGGTATATTAATTGTATTGGCGGCAATAACTAAAAGAGCTCAAATTCCATTTTCAGCTTGGTTACCTGCAGCAATAGCAGCCCCTACTCCTGTGTCAGCTTTGGTACATTCATCTACTCTTGTTACTGCTGGAGTTTATTTATTAATCCGGTTTAATTTATTAATTGGAGATACAATTTTAGGACAAAGATTGTTATTAATTTCAGGATTGACAATATTTATATCAGGGTTAGGAGCTAATTTTGAGTTTGATTTAAAAAAAATTATTGCATTATCTACTTTAAGTCAATTGGGGTTAATAATGAGAATTTTATCTATAGGATTTTATAAATTAGCTTTTTTCCATTTATTAACTCATGCTTTATTTAAAGCATTATTATTTATGTGTGCTGGGGCTATTATTCATAATATAAATAATTTACAAGACATTCGTTTAATAGGAGGATTAAGAAGTTATATACCTTTTACATGTAGATATTTTAATATTGCTAATTTAGCTTTATGTGGAATACCTTTTTTGGCTGGATTTTATTCTAAAGATATAATTTTAGAAATTGTATCATTGAGTTATATTAATATATTTTCTTTTTTTCTTTTTTTCTTTTCTACAGGATTAACAGTTAGATATTCAATTCGTTTAGTTTATTATTCATTAGTTGGAAATTTTAATTTTTATAGTTTAAATTTATTGAGAGATAATAGTTGAATTATATTAAAAGGAATATCTGGTTTATTATTTATAAGAATTATTGGTGGAGGATTTTTAAATTGACTGTTATTTGGCACCCCTTCAATAATTTGTTTACCTTTTTTATTAAAATTATTAACTTTAATTGTGTGTATTTTAGGGGGATTAGTAGGATATTATATTTCAAAAATTTCTTTATATTTTTTCAATAAATCTTTACAAAATTATTTTATTTCTTTATTTTTTGGTTCGATGTGATTTATGCCTAATATTGTTACATATGGGTTAATTTTTAATTTTTTATTTTTAGGTAAAAATTTGTATAAAAGTTTTGATCAGGGTTGATCTGAATTTTTTGGAGGATTTTATTTATATAAAAATTTATTGGGATATTCAAAATTTAATCAAATTTTGCAGAATAATAGTTTAATTATAATATTAATAAGTTTATTTTTTTTGTACTAATATTTTTTGTTATTTGGTGTTTAAATAGCTTATAATTAGAGTATTACGTTGAAGTTGTAAGGGAGATTTATGTTATCTTTAAATACTTAAAGAATTAAAATTAGTAATTTATAAATAATAATATTTATTTTTACAATGAAAATGTAATGTTTTTATTAAACTAATAAATAAATATAGAAATATAAATGGAATTTAACCATTAAAAATAAAAGTTAGCAGCTTTTTTTTGTTCATCATATTTCTTTAATTGGAATTTTATTCAATTTTATTATTAACAGTAATAAACCTCTATTTTGGTTTCAATTAATATTAAGAATAAGGGTAATTTACCTAATTTTTAGGTCGAAACTAAATGTGATGTATCACTTCATATTCTTTATAAGATAGATTACATAAAATAATATTTTTTGAATGCAAATCAAATGTTAAATTTAACTACAATCCTAAAATAAATTTTCCATTTAATTAGATCAATTTAATATCCCTTGATTTCATTCATGATACACACCAATTAATAAAATAATTAAAAAGATAATTGAAGTTATTCTTCATATAAATAAATTTGAAAAATTTAAAATTATAATTATAGGTAAAATTAATGCAATTTCAACATCGAAAATTAAAAAAATAATTGTAATTAAAAAAAATGAAGTGAAAATGGAATTCGTGAAGAAGATTTTGGATCGAATCCACATTCAAAGGGGGAATTTTTTTCTCGATCATTAAGTATTTTTTTGATAAAATTGAAGCTAAAAATATTACAATAGAACAAATTGTTAAAATAATTATTGCTATAATTGTTAATAATAAAATTATCTAATCTATATTTTATAGACTTTATGATTGGAAGTCATATATACTTTTTATATTATTTAGATAAATAATGAATTTAATTATCTTCCTCATCAATAAATAGAAATATAAAGAAATAATCAAACAATATCAACAAAATGTCAGTATCAAGCAGCTGCTTCAAATCCAAAATGATGATTTTTGGAAAAATGATTATTTAAATGACGAATTAAACAAATTATTAAAAAAGTTGTTCCAATTAAAACATGAATTCCATGAAATCCTGTTGCTATAAAAAATGTTGACCCATAGATAGAATCAGCAATTGTAAATGGGGCTTCGATATATTCATATGCTTGTAAAATTGTGAAATAAATTCCTAATAAAATAGTAAAAAATAATCCTTGGGAAGTTTGTGAGTGGTTATTTTCTATTAATCTATGATGAGCTCATGTTACAGTAACTCCTGAAGCTAATAAAATAGCTGTATTTAATAATGGGATTTGAAATGGATTAAAAGGGGAAATTCCTATAGGTGGTCATGAAGCTCCTAATTCAATAGTTGGAGATAAACTTCTATGAAAAAAAGCTCAAAAAAATGAAACAAAAAATAAAACTTCAGATAAAATAAATAAAATTATTCCTCATCGTAATCCTGTTGTTACTATAAATGTATGTAAGCCTTGGTATGTTCCTTCTCGACAGACATCTCGTCATCATTGATAAACAGTAATAATAATAATAATGTTTCCTAAAATAAATAATGATATATTATATTGATGGAATCATTTAATTATTCCTGAAACAATTGTTATTGCACCAATGGCTCCTGTTAATGGTCAAGGGCTATAATCTACTAAATGAAATGGATGATTTGAATGAGTTGACATTAATTTACTTCTCTGGAATAAAGTGTTCTTAATACTGCGAATACATAAGATTGAATAATAGCTACAGCAGATTCTAAAAGTAATAATAAAATTTGTCTAAATAATAAAATTGATAAAATCAATGAAGTTAAAGATGGACCTGTATTTCCTAATAGAGTTAATAATAAATGTCCTGCAATTATATTAGCAGTTAATCGAACTGCTAAAGTTCCTGGTCGAATAACATTTCTAATTGTTTCAATACAAACTATAAATGGTATTAAAATTGCAGGAGTTCCTTGAGGAACTAAATGAGCAAATATATGTTGAGTATGATTAAGTCAACCATAAATTATAAATGAAATTCATAATGGTAAAGATAAAGATAAAGTTAATGTTAAATGACTAGTTCTAGTAAAGATATAAGGAAATAATCCTATAAAATTATTAAATAAAATTATTGTAAATAAAGAAATAAAAATTAATGTTGATCCATTTTTTCCTGTAGGGCCTAATAATGTTTTAAATTCTTTGTGAAGGGTTAATAAAATGTTATTTCATAAAATATTATAACGAGAAGGAATTAGTCAGTAAATTATTGGGATTATAATAATTCCTAAAAAAGTTCTAATTCAATTAATAGAAAAATTAAAAATACTTGAAGAAGGGTCAAAAACAGAAAATAAATTTGTTATCATTTTCAATTAAATATCTTTGTTGTTAATTTATAACTTAATGATTTTGATGAAGTAGGTAGTATATAATAATAATTTATTATATTAAAAATAATAAAAATTATAAAAAATAAAAAAAATAAACTTAATCAATTAATAGGAGCTATTTGTGGAATTAAAAAATATTAATTAATTAATAATTTTAGTTTGACATACTAATGTTATTTATTTAACTAATTTTTTCATTAGAAGTAATTGCTAATTTACTATGAAATGGTTTAAGAGACCAGTACTTGCTTTCAGTCATCTAATGAATTAGAATAATTTATGATTCATTTAATGAAAAAGTTAGTTGGAATACTTTCAATTACAATAGGTATAAATCTATGATTAGCTCCACAAATTTCAGAACATTGTCCATAAAATAATCCAGGACGATTAATAAAAAAATTAGTTTGATTTAAACGTCCTGGAGTTCCATCAACTTTTACACCAAAAGCTGGAATTGTTCAAGAATGAATTACATCTGCAGCAGTTACTAAGATTCGAATTTGAGAGTTTATAGGTAAAATAACTCGATTATCTACATCTAAAAGTCGAAAATTATTAATATTTAATTCATTTGTTGGAATTATATAAGAGTCAAATTCAATATTTATAAAATCAGAATATTCATATGATCAATATCATTGATGACCAATTGTTTTTAATGTAACTAAAGGCTCATTAATTTCGTCTAATAAGTATAATAATCGTAAAGAAGGAAAAGCAATAAATAATAAAATAATAGCAGGTAAAATAGTTCAAATAATTTCAATAGTTTGTCCATGTAATAAATTTCGATTAGTATAATTATTAAAAAATAATATAAATATTAAATAACCAACTAAAATAGTAATTATAACTAAAATTATTAAGGTGTGATCATGAAAAAAAGTTAATTGTTCTATTAAGGGTGAAGCTCTATTTTGAAGGTTTAAATTTGATCATGTTGAAATTTCTAATAAAAGTAAAATACTTTATATATGAAGCTTAAATCCATTGCACTAATCTGCCATATTAGAAATTAGTTAATAATGGTAATTCTGAATATCTGTGTTCAGCAGGAGGAGAATTTTGAAATCATTCAATTGAAGAATTTAATTGAATTGAGTAAATTATTTGTCGGTTTATAATTATACTTTCTCAAATAATATATAGAAATAAAATAATTCTTAATAATGAAATTGTAGATCCAATTGTTGAAATAATATTTCATATAGTATAAGCATCTGGATAATCTGAGTATCGTCGAGGTATACCAGCTAATCCTAAAAAATGTTGTGGAAAAAGGTTAAATTTACTCCAATAAATATAATTATAAATTGACTTTTTAAAAGTTTTGCATTTATATATAATCCTGTAAATAGAGGGTATCAATGAATAAATCCAGCTATAATAGCAAATACAGCTCCTATTGACAAGACGTAATGAAAATGGGCTACAACATAATAGGTATCATGTAAGATGATATCAACAGAAGAATTAGCTAGAACTACTCCTGTCAATCCTCCAACTGTAAATAAAAATACAAATCCTAAAGCTCATATAGTAGTAGGAGAATAATTCAATTGGGTTCCATGAATTGTAGCTAATCAACTAAAAATTTTAATTCCTGTTGGAACAGCAATAATTATTGTTGCTGACGTAAAATAAGCTCGGGTGTCAACATCTATACCTACTGTAAATATGTGATGAGCTCATACAATAAATCCTAATAATCCAATAGCTAATATAGCATAAATTATTCCTAAAGATCCAAAAGTTTCCTTTTTTCCTGATTCTTGTCTAATAATATGAGAAATTATTCCAAATCCTGGAAGAATTAAAATATAAACTTCTGGATGCCCAAAAAATCAAAATAAATGTTGGTATAAGATTGGGTCTCCTCCACCAGCAGGGTCAAAAAATGAAGTATTTATATTTCGATCAGTTAATAATATTGTAATAGCACCTGCTAGAACAGGTAAAGATAATAATAATAATGCAGTAATTACAACAGATCAAACAAATAAAGGTATTCGATCAAAAGTAATTCCTGAAGATCGTATATTAATAACAGTAGTAATAAAATTTACAGCTCCTAAAATAGAAGAAATTCCTGCTAAATGTAGTGAAAAAATAGCTAAATCAACGGAAGCTCCTCCATGAGCAATAATAGAAGATAAGGGTGGATAAACAGTTCATCCTGTTCCAGCTCCGTTTTCAACTATACTTCTTATTAAAAGAAGAGTTAAAGAAGGAGGTAATAACCAAAATCTTATATTATTTATTCGTGGGAAAGCTATATCTGGGGCTCCTAGTATTAAAGGTACTAATCAATTTCCAAATCCACCAATTATGATTGGTATTACTATAAAAAAATTATAATGAAGGCGTGTGCTGTAACAATTACATTATAAATTTGATCGTCTCCAATTAAAGCTCCTGGGTGTCCTAATTCTGCCCGAATTAAAATTCTTAAAGAAGTTCCCACTATACCAGCTCATGCACCAAATAGAAAATAAAGGGTTCCAATATCTTTATGATTAGTAGAAAAAAGCCATTGTCGCGATTGATTAAATGGCTGAAATTTAGGCGATAGATTGTAAATCTATTTATAAGAATTATTTCTTTTTAATCAATAGCTGGCTTTATAGTCAAATAAATGATTTTAGACTGCAATTCTAACGGTGTATTTTATACTAAGGCTTAAGAATTATTTCATATTTCCAGCTTTGAAGGCTATTAGTTTCATTAACTTAAAACCTTTAATTTAATAAAGATAAAAAATTATTGAAACTAATAAAAGACCAAATCTAGAAAAAATGAAATGATTAAATAAATGAAATTAAACTTATTTTTGTTTAAATTATAATATAAAATTTTTGATTCAAAAAAATTTATTATAAATGCTGAATAAGTTAAACGAAGGTAAAAAAATAGGGTAATTAAGGAAGTTATCAAAAGAATTATTAATAATATTATTCTATTATTAATAATTATATATTGAATAACTCATCATTTTGGTAAAAATCCTAAAAAGGGGGGTAATCCTCCTAAAGATAAAAAATTTATAAAAGTTAAATATTTAAAATTTTTTATTTTATTAAAAATTATGAAAAGTTGATTAATATGTGTTAGTTTATAGACATTAAATATTAATATTAATGTAATGGATAAAAAACAATAAAATAAAAAATAATTTAGTCATATTATATTATTAGAATTTATTGAAATTAATATTCATCTGATATGATTAATTGAAGAAAAAACTATTAATTTTCGTAAAGAAGTTTGGTTTAATCCTCCAATGGCTCCAATAATAGCAGAAAAAATAATTCTTATTCTTATTAAATAATTATTTCTAATATAAGAGACTAAACTTAAAGGGGCGAGTTTTTGTCAAGTTATTAAAATAATTAGATTTATTCATGATAATCTTTCTGAGACTCTAGGAAATCAAAAATGGAGAGGGGCGGCTCCTATTTTTGTTAGTAAAGAAGAAAGGATTATTAAATAATTTTTTTCTAAAGATTCATTAATTGAATTATTTTTTAAAATTAGAATAATTGAAAATAAAAGAATAACTGATCTGAATGCTTGAATTAAAAAATATTTTAAAGAAGCTTCAGAGGATATTAAGTTATTTTTATAATTAATTAAAGGAATAAAGGCTAATAAATTAACTTCTAATCCTATTCATGCTATTAGTCATGAATTTGAAGATATAGTAATTATTGTTCCTATGATTATAATTAAAAAAAATAAAATTTTAGATGAATTAATAAAAATTAAAAAAAAAGGGTTAAAACCTTTATAAATGGGGTATGAACCCATTAGCTTAATTAGCTTATCTTTTTAAATTTAATAAAAATAATTTTAATATATACATATAAATATATTTTAGTGTAAGAAGCACATAAGATTTTGATTCTTTTAGGAATAGTTTAATTCTATTAAATATAATGAATATGGTAAACCACATGATTTACTCTATCAAAGTAACCCTTTAATCAGGCAATTCATTTAAAATTTTCCATTTAAAATTTAAGATGGATTTTTATTTTTTAAGGATTTTGGTGTATTTTATAAAAAATTTATTTAAATATGGTTTTGTATATTTTTTTGTGTTTATTTAACTTTTTAAGTACGTTATTAAATTTTAAATATTAAATTAATTTTATTCATTTTTATATTTGTTGTTTTGTTGTTATTTATAAATATTAAATAAATATTATTTTTAATATATTTTTATAATATTAAAAATTTTTTATTTAAATTTTAAATGGAAAATTATTTAAAATTTAAAATTTAAGATGTGTTTTAAAATTTTTATTTTTTTTATACTTAATAAATATTATTTATATATAGTTTTATTTTAATTTTTATTTTTATTTTTTAAAAATAAAAATATTTATAGATAATTTTATTTTTCCTATATATATAACTATATATTAAATTAATATATTTATATAAATAAATTTATTTATATATAATTATAAATTTCATAATTTAAAATATTAAATATTACATAATTATTAAATATACTATATATATAAATATATAAGGGTGGAATTTAATATAAATAATTTAATTTAATAGGGTTAATATAATAATTGTTTGATATATATATATTAATTAATTAAATATTTATATATTTGGCAATATTTTTTAATGGAACATTAGATAAATATATAAATATTAAAAAATAGGAGATCCTTACCGATTTGTACATCCCCAAATTTTTGATTCAAAATTAATATATATCTATAAATTAATTAAATATTTATAATAATATAGATATCTATTGATCTAACTTAGTATAGTTTAAATTAAAAACAATAAAAAAAATAATAAGTATATATATATATATATTAATAAATAAATTTATAAAAATTAATATATTTTTGATTAAAAAAAATTATTTATAGTATATTAATTAATATTTAAAATTTTTTTATTTAAATTTTAAATGGAAAATTAATTATTATTTAAAAATTAATATGTATTTTTAAATTTTTTATTTTTTTATACTTAATAAATATTATTTATATGTAATTTTATTTTAATTTCAATTTTTATTTTTTAAAAATAAAAATATTTACAGATAATTTTATTTTTCCTATATATATAACTATATATTAAATTAATATATTTATATAAATAGATTTATTTATATATAATTATAAATTTCATAATTTAAAATATTAAATATTACATAATTATTAAATATACTATATATATAAATATATAAGGGTGGAATTTAATATAAATAATTTAATTTAATAGGGTTAATATTATAATTGTTTGATATATATATATTAATTAATTAAATATTTATATATTTGGCAATGTTTTTTAATGGAACATTAGATAAATATATAAATATTAAAAAATAGGAGATCCTTACCGATTTATACATCCCCAAATTTTTGATTCAAAATTAATATATATCTATAAATTAATTAAATATTTATATTAATATAGATATTTATTGATCTAACCTAGTATAGTTTAAATTAAAAACAATAAAAAAAATAATAAGTATATATATATTAATAAATAAATTTATAAAAATTAATATATTTTTGATTAAAAAAAATTATTTATAGTATATTAATTAATATTTAAAATTTTTTTATTTAAATTTTAAATGGAAAATTAATTATTATTTAAAAATTAATATGTATTTTTAAATTTTTTATTTTTTTATACTTAATAAATATTATTTATATGTAATTTTATTTTAATTTCAATTTTTATTTTTTAAAAATAAAAATATTTATAGATAATTTTATTTTTCCTATATATATAACTATATATTAAATTATTATATTTATATAAATAGATATATTTATATATAATTATAAATTTCATAATTTAAAATATTAAATATTACATAATTATTAAATATACTATATATATAAATATATAAAGGTGGAATTTAATATAAATAATTTAATTAAATAGGGTTAATATAATAATTGTTTGATATAAAAATATTAATTAATTAAATATTTATATATTTGGCAATATTTTTTAATGGAACATTAGATAAATCATAAATAATAAAAAATAGGAAATCCTTACCGATTTATATATCCCTAAATCTTTTAGTCAAAATTAATTAATTAAATATTTAATTATATATTTATATTAATATAGATATTTATTAATCTAACCTAGTATAGTCTAAATTAAAAACAATAAAAAAAATAATAAATATACATATATAAATAAATAAATTTATAAAAATTAATATATTTTTGATTAAAAAAAATTATTTATAGTATATTAATTAATATTTAAAATTTTTTTATTTAAATTTTAAATGGAAAATTAATTATTATTTAAAAATTAATATGTATTTTTAAATTTTTTATTTTTTTATACTTAATAAATATTATTTATAT